AAAACCTCAGTTTTTGCATTTACCTTGCTGGAAGCTAGAACTGAACCCCCCCCCCCCGCTCTCTGGGGCCTGACCCGCTAGAGGAAAGCCTCGATCTCAAAAGTAAAATCGTGCATTTTCCCTTTTCTGACCTCCCTCCTATACCCAAGCAGCTCTCTCCTGCTCAGGAAGCTCTCATAAACGATATAACGCTTGAAGAGATTGAGGCTGCGGTCAAAATCTCTTCTAATAAAGCCCTGGCCCTGATAATATTTTTGTAAACAGTATTAAGCATCTCCCAGAGCGTGCTCTTCACTCTATCTCATTTATAACGCCTGCCACCGCCTAGATCATGTCCCTCTAGTGTGGAAGTACAAAATAATTACTATGATCCACGAAAAAGACCAGTGAGACTCCTCTTCTTTCGCCCTATTAACCTCCTCAGCTCTCTTCAAAAACTCAAAAATGGTAATTCTTACTACTCGTCTCCATGATTATTTAGAATTGAATAACTTGCTCTCTCCTTCAGTCAGGCTTTCGCAGGAATCTCTGTATAACTGACCAGTTCGTTCGTCTCTATCATGACGCATTGGTGGCTTTTCCACGGTAAAATGCACTTTCTTGCTCTCTTCTTTGATATCACTAAGCCTTTGATTAGGTCTGAAAATGACTTAAGGAACTCACTCTCCCCTATCATTACTTGGAAGAAATATAAGTAATGAGTACCCGAGTTGACTGTGATTGGAATGGGACTTCTTGATATTCCCTCGACATCTGAGTTCCAAGCTCTTGATGGGGTGAAGGGGTACGCGGAGCTATGGTTTTTCGGCGAGGCGGTTTTGGCCTCTCCCTCATATTGTCCAATTGTTGTTGCAGCTCGTCGACCTATCAGAACCCAATCTCTAGTCGTGAATTTGCTTCAACAAACGAATGAGAATAGAATGAAATGTGAAACCTTTTCCTTGAGCTCCTTCTCGATCTTACGTTTATTTCTCTCTAACTCTCCATACGCATTCTGTTCCCTCTTGACCAGCTCCTCAAGTTCTTTTGCTTTCTTCTCCACGGCCGACATATGCAACATCTGCTTGGCTGCCTGGAATCATGAATTATTCTCTCACCTCCGACTCCTTAGAAAATATGACATGGGTCTGTCCAAAGTGCCCCACGTCACGTCCGGAGTAATGTCTTAGCTATATGAAACGTATTTAACTAGATTATAAATGACGAATCAATTTATAAAGGCTGCAACTATTATCCTAAGGCAGTTACTAAAAATTCCAAAAAGCCAAGCCTTGCATATTCTCCACTGCTCGAGCTGTATCTCCTTGTGATGAAAATGTTGAATATAGCATTTCGTGACACTTAAGTCACTTGCTCCAATAGTTACTGTCCTGTTATGAAGAGGAACCAATCAATTTCTTGTTATGTTCATTCCATGAATTAAATGAAACCCTTAGTATTAGTATAAGTCATCACAAGATTACAGAATTTCAAAAGTAAAGCAAGGCTTTCTTTTTACAGTGTCAGATATGACGTAAAAATTATCTTTAAATGTAGAAGATGGTGCATATTTTTGGTGCTATTTTTTAAATATTGTTCAAATATGAATTGACATCCTCACTGAACACTGAACGCTGATTTGAAACTAGCAATACACAGGGGAGAATCCATACTGGCATCGATTCAATTTGTCCAATTTAATTTCCAAATTTGCATTTACATCATATCCATGAACATCATGAGAAGGATGCGATTACTCTATAATGAAAATGACTAATTCTCTCAACTTTGAAGATAATTTTCTCCCTCATTCTTGCTTTCAGGAAAAAGGGATGATAAAATGTTACAGAGAAAGTTATATTCGCAAATTTCGAAGAAATTCCTGCGTCGAATCTTCAGATCACTTGGCATGGACAGACCCATATGACGAAAGGGACTGGAATAGAATACGAGACCTGATCTCTGCTTTCCTGGAGTTCTTTCTGGATTGTACTCTTTGCATTCTGCTCCTTCTTGAGTTGCTCCTCAAGTTCCTTAATTCTCCTTTCAAGCTGCACTTTTTGCCTCTTCTCCACGTCCAGTTCATGCGCCATTTCTTGATTCAATGCTTCCAGCCTTTTCTTTTCATTCTCCAGCTGAATGTGAATCACTGCATTATGATGAAATCTCAAAGAGCATTTAATCTGTATAATTAATGTTTTGTATGAATCCAGTGAAACGAAGTAGTATAATTTATTGCACTGGGATGGAGGCCCATGCAAAGTCCCGACTGAGTCATGAGCAAGGTCATATTTTGAACTCATCTTGACGTTCTTAATAGTCCAGTTTCCTTGTGGACTCAATCGTATTCAAAGCAAAGAGAAATTCGATGGAATGTGGGCCTGCATGCATTTCTTAGCATGGATTTTGTTATTTTCGCAGTAGTAGCACGCACAAAATATGTTTTAGCTCATCCACATTTCATATTCGCTAATGAGACACTTGACCTTCATGAACGACAACAACCAGCTGTTGCAACACCTGCATCAGCGAAAAAGGATGGACCCACAAGAGATATTTTGCCGTATTACCTTATTCCAGACTTGCACCGAACTGAATTGACATGAAGTTATTCAACAAGACTCGGTCACTTTGCCGTTGAGTAACGATAATTTCGTTCGGGAAAGGCAGAAAACGTATGGTTCCATTCAATGACTCAAATCTCTTACCTGCTTGAATGCCTCTCCATCAAATAGATCCTCACTCACATGAAGCCTGAAATGGAAAAGATATATTCCATAAAGTGAGATCATCTCTTTGATTAGTAAATGACACCTTGCTCGAAGCCCCGTCTTTAGTCGTAATTTGGTATTATTTTCCTGAAAGTTTCCTGATTTGATCGGAGGGGAATAGTATACTGTTCTTTATGAGGACGTAAGACATTATGCTTTTCTTGGCCACGTTTTGAAGCCAGAGCAGCCTTCTTGAACTAAATGAAGAAGTGCACTGCTATATGCAATTTGTTCCCGCTCCCAGTCTTCATTGAATATAGAGGGTGTGTCAAAAGTCCTGCGCACCTTTTGAACGTTAATAACTTTCCAACGCTAGGTCTGATGAAGATGCGGTTTTCACCCTTCGAAAGACTCTACAATTCTGGATTTATTCATTTATTTTGCCAATAGTATACTACGAAAACGAAATTC